GCCAAGCTTATCTCCCCCTTGGATCAGATATTAAATATGTCATCACATTACAATCCAGGATCTAGTCAATCAGAAAATACATATTTTATTACAAATTAATCCTTGCTGCTTTGCCAACGCAGGGGTTAGCCCTGTGGTGCCATAACATATTATTAGTTAGAATCAGAAAGTGATAGATGGTTTTAAAAGATTAACTGACTACGTCACACCCAGTATTTAGACAAAGGATTGACAAAGGACAGGATCTGTTCCTGATAAATCTGGGGGTTATAGGAAGGGGTTATATTCCCTTATAGGAATTTGAAATGATGCGTGGAGTAGTAAAAAAGGTATATGAAAGAGTTTATTAATATTGTGTAGTATGTATGATTCCAGTATCAACTGGAAAAACTGAAAAGTTCTTCTTCATAAAGTACAAGGCAAATGTGTAGCGTCTGATTATTTCCTCCATCATCTTCAGTTTTCATTGTAGGAGCCTTGTCGACATCCGCTTCAATCAACGGAGAAAATATAATCTCCCCGCATCTTTATAAGGCAGTTGCTGAGTTTTATTGAAATAGGAATATGAAATGCATGTATTTTCCACCTGAGAGGGTTTGCTGCAGGGGTGACAATGTGATGCGACGATCAAAATTGTTTCCATCAATGCTGGCAGATGAAATGCAAACACAATCAAATCAGTTTGGCCCATACAACAATCCTCTGCTCAAATGCCAATCTCCCTTCTCTTCCTCATGTGTCTGATGAGAAATCATAGAGTGGGAGAATCTCCTAATCTATGCAAACACACTGTCAGCGTTGATTTGTTCGGAGGGGATATTTCTTTATTAGCACTGGCCAGGCGTCTCCGTTTCTGCACTTCTATAAAGGACGGCCTGGGAAAGACACAGAGCTGGCCGGCTGCTTTGGAAGCAGTCACAGCCATAACAATTGAGATAAGTTACTGAGGACAGGTAATGAGAACCGATAGACTTGGGGATGGATCGATATCGGACATTGATACCAGGAGAGGAAGGACAAATTGTGACATCTCTTTCCTTATCCATGTTCAGAGGAGCTTTTGAGACAAGTGGCTGTGTGTGTGTGTGTGTGTGTGTGTGTGTGTGTGTAGAGCTACTGGTGTGCATGGGAGGGGCTCCAAAGCGTTCACAGAATACAAAGGGATGTCAGTTTCTCTCACAATAACTGTGCAGTGGACACAGTCAGCTGGAGCAGCTCTTTTGTCTTTCCTGTACTGAATCAGTTGCAATAAACAGACCTGTCTGATGAGAGCAGAGGTCACGTCTGCTGTAGATGGTAATCCACCTGTCCTGTTTTCCACCTCCTCAGCTTGAATACTGAGCAGTCTGACGGAAACATGTCTGGACTTCAGACCTGGATCAGTTATTCATTTAAACCCTTCCAGTTACTTTGACGTTTGCTTGAGTCTGCTGGGAGTGAACATGGATGGAGTTTGCTCAATATTGCATCTGCTGTGCTGAGCAAGACCAGTTAAATCTCCACATTTCTGATATGACTTGAATTTGGTTCTGCCGCGTGACGGTGTAGAGATTATCAATTGTGGTTTCCGCTCTCTTTGATCAGTTTGTTTTTCTATTCGATATCCTTTAGCAATGAAAACATGCACAGAAGTTATTAGGATTGTGGGAATCCCTCGACATTGGCAGTGCAGATATAACAGCAGCAGACGAAAGGTTGCTTCAAGTGCATTGGTGATCAGGTGTGCATTCGGAAACAGGCAGTCTAGTTTGACTTTCAACTTTTGGGACAGAAAAGTCTCAAAATGAATTTATCAGATGTAGCATTTGTTATAAGTCAAATAAAAATCATCCCTAGTATTACCGTATCGCTGTTCGATTATAAGCAGGAAAAATCATATTGCACTATTCATACTTTAAATGCAAAGGGACTAATCTTGTTACTCTTACTTTGTAGCTTGGAGTAGGTAATATGGATACAATTGTCAATAAATATCAAAGTATTTTATATTGTGGTATCAAAATATGCTGTGATATTTCTAGACAACAAACCAGTGAATTACCCAACAAATTTAAGGCACTTGCAAATAAATTACAAAATAAAATCTAATATTGCCATATAGGAGTCCTGCTTAGTGATGTGTTAAGGGGAGTTTGGTATAAACAATCCAGTAGACAAATTTTCATCGTCTCACGTTATCATCCAACCGCTCAGCATTTGAAGAAAAACGAGAGTTTTTATTCTAGTCAATAGATTTAGAGCTGTAACACTAATTAATTGCTTTCATCTTTGTCATATTCCTAAGGCTGTGATTCATCTTTACCTTTGAAACTGTGGGCACCTTGAAGTGGGTAAATGAGCTTTTCTGTATGCTGCTGCTCCCTCTGCCCGAAACCTTCTGCAGTTACTGTAGATCTAAAATTGCTAAATTTGGACACTTTCTGTGTATTCAAATCATGGCTGCACAAACTGGCTGTTCTGTGGGGTGTTTTAGAATGTGTTCGTCTCAGTTACTGTTTTGTACTGGTCCTAGTTATTTTTATGGTTTTAGCTCTTGGCTTGATTTAAGCTGTCGGGGGTTTTTTGGGGATGAAATCTTTTCCATGGTTGTATTAGAAAAGTTATTCATGCTTTTATAATTGTATTTCTGTTAATTTTGTGGCATATTCTGGGTTATCTGTTTTACGTTGTTTGTCTGTAACTTGTTATTGCAGCTTATCTTAGCCAGAATGTAAAAATTAGAGACTTTTAATCTTAATGAGGCTTTCCCAATTAATTAAAAGGTTGAATATAAATAAATACTCATTAACACTTTTTTCCCACTGACGTTTTATTGGTGGTTAACAAACAACTTTTCAAAAGCAATTAGACAAACTCGGAAACACTTGTGGAGTGAACAGCAAGAATGTTTCGTCTTCATTAAGGAAACAATACAGACACGCGCAGTGGCAATCCAATAGTCCAATACAACAGAATGTTTACATTACATAAGACTATATGAATATTATATACCAATATTATAACAGCCTCTTTATGCCTAATCAAACAGTATGTGTGCTTCATTGTTGATGGGCCACGCATCCATCAAAGAGTGAAAGAAAGATTATCATGTTGAACAGAGAACAGCAGAACAAATGTGCACACCATCTCCAGCAGTGACTCTTGACTGATGTGTCCATGCGCCATTTTCATTACTTTTTCTTGGAATTAAGAGCATTAACTCAATCCACCACTCGAATTTAATTTACATAACAAAGGAAAGAGGATTCTTGATGAGAATCCCAAATCAGTCTGAACACGCCAGCCAATGAAACTAAGGCTGAAATCTCAGGAGCTTTGACTGTTGTAGGCTGGTCACATGGGTGCAGAGTATTTACATCTCTGTCTTTGTTAATGGAGGAAACAAGCACGGATTTCTCCCAGTGCAAAGGGGGGGGGGGGACAACCACTCTGAGTCAGGTAGGACATTTCTCAAACTTCCTTTTAGAGAAATGGGCTATTTTGAGAAGGTGATTTTTCACTGTTACACTGGGTATAAATTGTCAATCAATTTTTGTCAACTCTGGTATGTCTCCAAATTCCTCAGTGCTCCCTCCTTGAGGTATGACGTTGATATCTAGCAGCTTCTGATGTGACAGAAGTCCTGGTTGCTTGGCAACAGGTACGAGTTTAGAGTCCGATGTGACTGACGACCAGGGTGAGAGGACAGCCTGACAAGCATGTACAACACACACACACACACACAGCTGTACCGCAGTTGGATGTGTGCGCCTCACATGTTTCTTGAAGAAAGGGGGATTAGAGGGAGCCATCAGTAAACTCCTCAAGGCAGTGCTGACATTAAACAGCAAGTGTTTGAGAGATCGATGTGGGTACCTTGGAGCGGCCATACCTCTGGACAACCACGTGTCCCCCATAAATGCACATTCATCATCAAAGGCAGCGGGAACAGAGTGATGTGGAGGGCTTTGAGGCGGCTTTGGAACTCACACGTTTTCTAAAGACAGAGCCCCTCGCTGCTGCAGGGGTTCATGGCACCCGGCATGACAGATTTGTTTCACAGACAAATAAATGCTGACTATAATGGTTAATAACCACATGGCAAATGGTCCATCATCATTAAATGTTGGCAGAGCACCGTTGCATTGTTAATGTGATGTTCCCATAAAATCAGTTGCAGTTTATGGGACACATCGTGTTCTTGACAAAACTTGCTATTGACAAAACATAATTCTTGTTCACCGTATCAAAGTTAAGCAGCTGACTCCACAATGTCTCCCAGTGCGAGCTACATAAAAATAACACATGTATCATAGAATCTGTGTTTACATCTTAAATCACCAGGTTAATCAGAGAACGCATTTACATGCACTGTAGTAACCTTCCCTTTGTGTTTTTGTGTGCATGTGAATAGAAACTGTAGTTCTCCGGTGTTGTCTTTTTTATGCATGTGTTCGTTATGGCTATAGATCTGAGTCTTTTATTTTATTTGCGCGTGTGTGTGTGTGTGTGCATGCGTGTGTGTTCCAGCTCTTTAGAAAAACCTGTCATTTCCACATTTCTCAGTCCCAATCAGTTGTCAGGCTGTGAATGGGCGGTTTGAATTTGCAGATCGCTGCTGAATCACACCACATCAGTGTCATACATGTTTATGACACTGATGGCGGAGGCGGGGGATTGCAGCACAACAGACAGAAAAACAAACAGGTCTCCAAGGTGATCGGGAAGATTTCAGAGACTGAAACCAATGTGCTTATTATGAGACTGGCAGGCTAAATAGGCTGGAGGATGAGCCAAGAGCATGATGGGGCACGGTAATCACTGGCAAATTGCAAACCGTACTTTCAGCATGCAAACACTTTATATAATGCAACTATGGAGTTGCACATGTCACACATCCGCAACAAACAACATCCAAAAGCAGGTGAAAACACTGCTCATCTCAGCTGGAAAAGTGCCTGGAAGGACCTCCGTTTGAGCCCAAATTAAAATAAATGTATTTCAGTTTGTTTTGCATGTACCTGATGCTGGGTCAACTGTCCGGTCAATCATGTGGTCATCCTGGTGAACCCACTCGCCGTTGCACTTGAAGTAGATCTGCGTGGCAGGGGTGGAGCGGCAGGTCAGTGTCACCGGCTTGTTCTTCACAATGTACTCGTCCTCTGGCTCCACCAGGAAGTGAGGTAACAGGTCAGAGAAGGCGGCAGGAAGTGTTGCTGTGGCGACATGCTCGGAACCTGTAGAGAATAAAAGAAGCAGGGATTTTTATGGGGATGCCAAATAAAAACACTTTCATGTTTTCAAGTTGTCACGAGGCAGGAGCTGAACCTTTCCCACGAAAATGCAGCAGACACCAAATATCTAATGCAGAGATTCAGTGTCCTTGGTGAATTGCGACTCATACATATGCATACGAAAGAGGCAGAAGACGACAGAGACAGATGGACAGACAGAGTGAAAAAGAGCGACAGAGCGGTATGGAGAAGAGTTGGCAGTGACAGAGCTTGGCCTTGTGTGCTCTTGGCTGGGTCGGAGGAATAGCGGAGTCCATGTCTTTACTCCAGCTCTTAATCATAGCCCTTTAACATCACCGCTGATGGACCGGCCACCATAAATCCTGTCTCAGCCAGTAGGCCACTTCACATTGTGTTATACGGCTCTTCAACCGGGACTCTAACTCTACCAACATTAAGCAAGACAAGGCGAGCCACGGAGGTTAGACATGACTGACAGCTAGACAGCCAGTTAACTTAAAATCACTTTCCAAATATAGTAGATGTCGTTTTATTCCTCCAGAATCTGATGACATATGGGGATGTGGATGAAGGAAAATGTGTCTCCACTGTGTGAAGATACTGGAGTAGTCCTTGAGGGGGGGACTACACTACGATTTACAGCAAACTTTGACGCTCACTGAAAAATGTTCAACACAGACGCTGAATGACACAATGGAGCCTAAAGCAAACACATCTTTCCACCGTGAACACAGTTTCTCTCTTTCTAAACATATTAGCCTTGTGCGAGAGGATAGCGAGAGGACACAGAACAGAGTAGAAAGAGGGAAATAACCTCTTTACACCGCCGACACTCAGGGGAGACCAGTAAATCCCAAAATAAAACCCCTTTAAAAAGGAGTGTAATATTAATTTACTGCCCTGAATCCAATATGGCTGACAGTCCGGGCATTAACAACCATCTCCATCACTCCCTGTGCAGCAGGAGAGGATGGGAGTCCACATCTCTCATAATGAAACGGCAACACTCGTGCTGACCTTTCTCTCCTCTCTTCCTCTCCTCCCTCACGCAGCCTTCGTTCATCCTTGCAGCTTGCCGATGCCCATGTCAGGGATAATATTATGTTGCGTCATAAACACTAATCTTTGGATAGACATTATCAGTTGTCAGTTACTCCCCCACTACACATTATATTAAATTTCTCTCTTTTTCTTTTTCTCTTTTACCCCAGTGTGCTGAGTTTCTAATTTATCAGGATGAGATACAGTGAAGCATGCCACTGCTGCTGCCGCTGAACCCCATTAATGTTTCGTGTACATGTTTAACTCTTAATGAAAACTAAATGTTCTGTGTCCAATGAACGACATAGATCACTTGCTGACACTTTGCCTTTTTCCCATTTTCCAAGCACATTTTCTTATTGCAATGCATTTGCAGAGGAGAAAATGTTATTAATATGGCAGCTGCCTATTCAGGACAACTCAACCACCTGACGTTATTTACTATGTATGAGTGTGGTGTGTGTTTCTCGTTTCGTTGTGTTGAGAAAAGGCCACAGTTCATCATGAATAGTGAGTATAATTGCTCTAACCGAGAGCCAAAACTTTGCTAATAAACAGCGTGGGATCAGTAGGTCAGGTTGTTTGAAAGTGTGTTGGTCCTAATGAAGGCAGCTTCTTCTAATGGGCTGGCTTCCAGCTTTGTGACCAAGGCCATTAGCCGGCCGGGCTGACCCTCTGTACTCCCCGCTGACTGAAGACGACAGCTCACTAAAACAGTGGGCGAGACTCACCTCACACCTGGCAGGTTAATCATCTCACAGAGGACAGATGATGTTGAAACACAGAGTGAAACTGAAGCCACCTGAGATGCGGACGAGTCGCAAGAACTGCTTGATGAGCTCCTGATGTTGTTAACTCGCCGCTGGCTTCTCATTTGCAGGGGTCACATTCAACATGAACCCTCAACTTTTGATGATGTTTCCACTTTGTGTGTAGGTGCGCTTGTGTGTGTGTCACAAGGGGTGGGGGGTTAGTCTTCCATTTTAGTACATGCACTTTAAGTTAATGAGGTTAAACACGTAATTTCTTTAGAGAAGTAAATTGTCATTTTATGGGAGGACATTCTTGTCACGCACTAGCTTTATATCAAACCCATAATGGAGGGCTGATGCGTAGTAAATTGGCTTAGATTATTGTCACGACACAGTGTACTTCAAAGTCAATGCGCGCACACACACACACACACACACACGTGCACGCACGCGGGGAGTATCAGCTACTTGACAGACTTCTTGCAGGTCAATGCACAAATCAAACAGACGTACAGCAGCACAATGGGCACTGCAGTCCGCTGAATGCGATTGGTTGGAGCCGCCATTCATTATCAAATGCATCAGAGTCCATTGCCAGATCATTTAGTACACACACAAACAACAAACACAGGATGCTAAATGTCTCCCTAGTTGATCATTCGGCCAATGAAGAGGATTTAATTGATACAACATGCTGGATGTGTTGCTAGGGCTCAGTAACCATTACATATTGCATCCCTGCACCGTTTCAGTCTTTTTCATAATTTTTCTTTCGGGTTGTGACCCGATATTTTTCTGCAGCTGTTATTCTCTCGAGAGACAATTCAACTGACCTAAAACACATGCACAACAGCACACACATACACACAAACACAACAACGGTGCACCAGGTGTCAGTGTGCTGAGCCATGATGTCCAGGGTATAATTCCTGCTGCGCACAGACCTCATGTCTCATGTGTCCAGCTGACCACATCAACTCCAAAGTCAGGGACCGAGCACGTCCACAAGAGGAGGACATGACGAGATGGTTATGGTACAGTTAAAATAATATATATTTAAATAAAATAAGACGTTTTATTCCTGTAACCGCTGTAACTATATATGCACACACCACTGCATTTTAAGAAACATACAAGTTTCGATTTTCACAAGTGTTGCAGCTTTCTAAACCTCTTGTTACCATCCATCTTCAATATTTCATAATGATTTTTACTTTAATGTCTCTTACTGTATCACTCTCCAGCAGTAGGTATGTTTTTTGTATAGACACAAATCTTAAGTTCTCTAGAAATCTAAGTTGCTCGTACTCATCCTCACTCCTCGTCTGCTTGTGTCAGCAGGCCACGTACTTGTCGACTTGTGTTATCGCCATTTGTGAAATAAGCATTTATTTTTTAAAATTTCACTCCCTATTATCTACTTGGAGAACAGAATTGCCGAATGCACCACGGTATGAGGATGTTAGCAGGGAGAAAAACCATAGCTGGAGAGAAAATAACCCTCTTTTGTGTATCTCGCTCATGGCACCAACACATCATGTGCCCTTTGGAGCCAATTACATTTTTTTTTTCTTTTTTACAACGTCATGTCCCCAAAGGAAAGCATCATTGAGCAATCACTGGGCATAATTTACATCACAGTGATGAACAGCAGCTATAACAAATGTTTTATGACACCATCAGCGCCCTACAATGTCCTCTGAAATTAATTCAATTAAAATTACTATCCAGAATATTAAACCATTTCATGTTTAGCTGCCATAAACAACAAAGCCAAGATCAAATTTGTCACAGCCACTTTGTTGGTTGATGTTTTTCGTCAGAGTGCTTTGGTTTGCTCTAGTGGCTTTCTGGATGTTTTTATACCACAGAGTATCTTTATTTAGTAATCACTCTAAATATAATGTATGTGCATTAGGGTTCTTGGAACAGCAGCATTGTTTATGTACAGTTAGAAATGCTTTGAATAAACTTCTGACAACATTAACGTTGTGAGTGATCAAACAAAGGGAAAGACACAGAAAAGGGTGTATAAGAAAAAAAGCTCCATCCACCACCATATATAATCTGGAGCACGGCTGACTGATGTATGTTTGTCCCCAGATGACAAATATTTACTCCTTCACATGTCTGGGAGTTAGAATACATTTTTCAATAAGACAACCATGCTTCAACAAGCACTCCTTCAACCTCACACACTCTATGTCAAACACACATATATGCACTATTCTATATACTTTACACATGCATAGAGCTGAAACACACAAACGAAGCTAAAAAAACCAAACGAAAAAAAAAACATGCGCACGTATGCAAAATGTAGCCGCAAGCATGCATAAAAGGAAAAAGCTGCTCGCAAACAGCTTGGCTCTCAATCAATGAGAGATGCAGAGAAATGCAGGTTTACACAAAAAATGCTAAAACACCAACACATTCAGATACCACAGAATATCCCTGGTTATTAAGGTGGGTCTGGAAAACAATCAATCACTGGCAGTGAAAATATACTCAAACAGCTCAGATACATTAAACATGTAGGAGAGATGGCACCCATAGCAACCTAAACTTAATTGCCATCAAAAGCTAGTGGCATAAATCATCTCTACTCTAACAGACAGCAACTTGAATGATTAAATGCTGTTGGATTGTTTTTCTTGAGTGATGTTAAAGAGTTTGTCAACAAAAGAAAAAGTTGGTGCTGTTAGTTGTGTAAATGTGGTGCACACCAACACTATTAATGAGCCTTACACCTTTGAACAGGCGCTCACACATCTGCTTATTCTGGTTTGTTGATTTTTATTTATTAATTTATCCTGTCATCTACTTGAAGCAACACCTCAGCAGGAGGGTCCAAGCAGGGAAGCAACTTTGTGCAGTCTACCTTTGCCACCAGCACCGACACTCCCCGACAGCTTCGCTCCGCTCGCCTTTCAACGCCGTCTTGAAAGGCATATTTGCCTTGAAACCGATGAGACCATTTTAAGTTCCTGTCAACGCAAAAGGGCTGACATTTTGAGAACTGTGTGCAAGTGTGTGAGAACATTGGTCTGTGCAGATGTGCGTGTGTGTGCAAATGTGTGTGAATAAATGGCTGAAAGTGATGTTTAACAAGATCAACAGCTGGGTGCCCAACTTTGTGTACATAACAGAGACAGTGCGAACACGAGACACATTTATGTTTCTGTTACA